AATATATTTGTATGTGATAGATTATAATTGTATTTGTATTTGAGTTGATTTGGAATGTTTAAATTATAAATTTTAAATTTGTGAATATTATTTATCTTAAATAGATTATATATTTTATTTATATTTGAATTTTTTATTTAATTTAAATTTAAAGTTTTATAATATTTTAGGTCGGATACGGATATCTGCAAATATCCGTGATTTTGACGAATATCTGAAGTTGTGGATATCCGAAAATTACGGATCGGATACGAATACCAAAATCGAATATTTGTACGGATCGGATACGGATATGGATATCTCAAAAATCTCGAATATCCGATCCGTGCCCACCTTTGCACATACCAACAAACCCAAAACTTGGATGGATGATGATTTCAGACTCCTGTTCTTATACAGAGTTCAATTGCCACTAAAAACTCTATACCTCTCGAATATAATTTTAGTTGTCCTATACATTCCGAGGCAAAATCAAATAATCTAACCAAATATTCAACAATTTATCTAAACCAAATTTAATATAAAAATTGATTCTATTTTATTTTTAAGCAATATTATTGAATTTAAATATCAAATTACTATAAGCGTAACCAAAAATCTAAAAAAAATAGAAGTTTTTTAAATAAATATTTTTTGCAATAAAAATCCAACTTAAAAGTTAAAACTAATTTAAACCTAATACAATTGAAATAATATAAAAAAAATCGAAATTCATAAATTATAGATTTAAAAAGTTCCCGTACTTGGTAATATATCATGCAAAATCCGTGCCTATGTATGTGTGAATTATTTGACGTAGACAATTAAATATACAAATATACATATGGTAGTGTTTGTCAAAGAGGAGAAAGTCTGCGGCTTCATTTCGATGACCAACTCATATGTTTGAATGCATTTATATTCTAAAACGCCACTTTTCCTAGTTAATAGCCTACTTTGATGAATGACTTTTATTTCAATCTTTATATTATATATATATATATATATATATGTATTATTCACATTTTCTTCAATCCTTTACAGAAAATTGAATTTCTTGAAAAATTAATAAATGTCTAAAACACTGAATAATAAATTATACACAAAAGCGAAAAAAATTGACCAATATATTATTATATTTTATTTATTTTTAATGTTTGAGAAAAATGAAATAGAAAAGTGTTTTATATATGTATATTTTTTAGCTATTGAAAAATGAGTTTTTTTTAGAAAAATAGAATTAATTTAAAAGGAGCTGTTAAATTCAGAATGTTAGTTTTTTCAAATTGAAAAATTAAGATTTTATTAATTTAGATACGAATACCTACGCAGTTACAGAAAATAAAAAATATTTATAAAATAAATAGTTAAAAAAATGTAAACATATCAATCAGGCAAGAAAAATAAATGAGAACTGTGAGAGATTAATATAAATTCGTAAAATTTAAGTTGTGAAATATTATTATTATTATTATTATTATTATTTTTAAGTTGTGAAATATTATTATTATTATTATTATTATTATTATTATTATTATTATTATTATTATTATTATTATTATTATTATTATTATTATTATTAGTAGTAGTAGGCGCCGTGTGAATCAATAATGGAAAAAAGAGTAATGCGGCGCATTTTTTCTGAAATAATGTAAGACCCTCTACCTCATGTAGAGGCGTCCCATTCGGGGTCAATGAAATCCACAAATTCCAAAAGTCAACAATGGGCAATGGCATCTCGTAATTACTACGAATATTCAGGGATATTTCGTAACGTCGACCTGACCGTTTCTCGAATCATGTTACGTGGCAGCATTTCCAACTGCCCAGAGAGAAGCACATCATCTGAATCCCATCTCAGCCGTTGGATCAGAATCCGATTCTTCTCAAAACGGCAACACCATGACAGAAAGAAATCCAAACCCAGACTTTCTTAACCATGGTTAAGTTAACTAACCATAGTTACATCCGTGGCATTGCGGTCGTTTGCTATAAATTCGGCGTTTGATATTCGCTAGGTTTGCCGGTCCAACCACTCTCCGGGACCTTCTTAGAAAGGAAAAAAAATTCCTGTAAGCTCTCTCTCTCTCTCAGTTTGAATTTCATAGTGGAAAAATGGTGATCACATCATCTTCCAGAACCAGATCGAGCGGGCCGGTGCTACGCTCTCTGTCGCCGTCAGGCCGTTTCTGCAATTCGTACGTGAACTCCGTGGCGTCTTCGTCGTCGTCAGCTTTCGCTTCTTCCACCAGCTCCAGTTTCTCATCTCCGTCGGCGGCCTTCTTCAGCAGCCATGATCAGCACGACTTTAATACTAATGATATTATAATTTAATATACATTATGTTATTAAAATATTATATCTTAAATTATTTAATATTAAATAAGTTTTTCATTTTTTTTATAATTCTATATTATATACACGACGGCTCCGCCGACGCAGTCTTTTCGGTTTTCCATCGATTCCAGATCCATATCTCCGAACAGGTCTATCGCAGTTTCAAAGCCTAGCAGACACCAGATTTCGGAGCAGAGGAAAAGGTGTATGTGCTCGCCGACGACGCATCCGGGATCGTTCCGATGCAGTCTCCACAAGAACGTGGCGAATCCTCACGGTCAAGGTGCGGCGTCGTATCCGTCGAACCGGTTGAACATGCGTCGATCGGCGATGACGAATTCTCTGGTGAGAATCGGCGGAGTTGAAGGAGAGTGGGTGAGGAGAGCTTTGACGGCACTTATCCGTCCGTCGTCGCACCATCTGAGAAGACGAGCTGCATTTCAGCCTCGTCCTAGCAAGCTCTCAGTCATGTCGCAAGCCGACGATCAGTGATCGGTTTTATAGATCCGATCAATCAGGTTTGTTCCTCTTTTTGAACCGGCCACAGGGAAACTTTTCTGGTATACTAAAGGTCCAAGGGCGATGGATCCTGCGAAGATGTCTGGTTCTGAAGCGAGCGAAGACTCGGATCTGCCAGAGCGAGTCGAGTCAAGGGGTTTCCGAGTCAAGACCGGCGAGATCTGCGGCTGAGTTAACCCGGACCGAGTTTTGTAAACGGGGATGATAAGGGACAGTTGAGTTTATTTTTCTTGGGTGGAGATGTGAGATGCATTGTACATACACTCATATTGGTATTGAAGCCCAAAAATTCGCACTCCCTAAAATGACTTAAAATCAATCAGAACGCTTCATAAACTGGTAAAATTAACTACGAAGAACTATTGGACTGAGACTTATTTGAACTTAGATCTGTCATCAAGGAGTTTGTGCGTATATGGTTGACGTTGAAACCGTTCCTTGTGTTTGCAGCTTTGGTTTCCCCGTCGTGTGTTAACTCTCGCCGTCCCCCGTCCCGTGTGTCGTTACAGTCGCCGTTTCGTCCGTTAAGACTTCTGTTATCTCCAGGTTTGCGCCCGTTGTGCGAGGTATGCTTTTTCCTTTTTTACTATTGTATTATTTATGTATATTCTTTATATCCCTGGAAAGTGGAAACACTTTCTGTCATCTCTGTTTTGTTAGTTTTGTTTTTCATCCTCTTTGCAGGTGTTCGTACGGTGGATCTGTTGGAACTACGCTGCGTAATCTTTGGAAAATCAGCGAAACCTTTAGAAAATTTTATCCAAAGGCTTATGGGAGATCTGACGAATGAAACAACCAACCTGGACACTGACAGACATTAAGAGATGGACAGTTTCATGGATTGAAAATTGATAATCTGGACTCCAAATTAAAACCCAGAATTTCTGAAAAGATTCTAAGAGAAGAGACAATGGGGAAAAACAGGACAAAATGTGACGTTTCGGGAATAGGAAAAAGCAGTGTTGTGGGGGTTTGAGAAAAAGGACAGCTGGGGTTTTGAATGGATGAAAGCTAGCGAACAACCCTACGGGAATATTTTATGGGTTAATTAAATCGAGAAAATACTAAAAATTTGGTTCTCTCAAATACATAGAGAGAGCTACAGAATGGCATACGCGTAACTAGGGGTGGACATAATATCCGAATCAAATAGAAAATTCGGATATCTGGAATTCACGGATCGAATACGGATATTCATTTTAAAATATTTGACGGATACGGATATCATGAACGAATTATCCGACTTATCCGATCCGATCTATATTTTTTAATAATTTGATTAAATATAGAATAATTTTATAATTAATTTATACTTATGGGGTCATTTTGAAAAACGTAAAAAATATACTAGGGTTTTCTCATTTTCACCCGTTCATCAAAAACTCAAATCACTCCACCTCTTCACTTCATCTCTCTTCCTCACTTCTTCTCCTCTTTCGTTGTTGTTCCTCATCATTTTTTTTCACCATTTTTTCGTTTTGTTTCTCTTTTGTTATTTTATTTTGATTATTGATGGGTGAATTTTGCATTAGGACTAGAGCTTATTTGTTTTTGTTGGGATTAATCTTGTCTTCCAACAGATTCGACCGAAGACTAGCACAATTTCTGTTTTGCAGTTTTATTTATTTGTGTTGTAAAAGTCTGTATAAGTTTCGAAACACTTTCTATAGCATAATATTTTATTTCTTATTTCGTTAATTTCTACTTCGTATTTATTGAAATTTTTTGTGGTTTTTTTCCGGTAAAGAAGTCTTATGGAAAGGTTTTACGAAATATTCATACAAATATGTAATCTATTTTATTTGCATTTGAACTGATTTACAAAGTTTTATTATGATCTTTAAATTTTGAATTTTATTTGTATTTGAAGAATTATACATTTATTGTATATGAGTTTTTTAAAGTTTTTATTTTTCATGTTTAACCTATTTTAATCGGATACAAATATTTGTAAATATCCGACATTTTTTCGGATATCCGAAGTTATAGATATCCGAAATATGCGGATCGGATACAAATAATAAAATTGCATATTCGTACGGATTGGATACGGATACGGATATCTAAAAAATATCGGATATCCGATCCGTATCCACACCTACGCCTAACGTAACAAGTGTTTTTTTTAATACCGCCTAAAAAAATCTTTTTTTATATATAATTTTAATTTAATACTCCCAGATCATAGGGTAGATTAGGTGTGGGCAAAATTGAATGGAAAGTAATATTTGGATCCAGTTAGAATATTATTACAATAATGGTTATATTATGGACTTATAGGACTATAAAATTGAAAGAGTTTTGGATTTAATTCTGTTTGTTTTAATTGAATATAAGTAATTAATCGATTGATTGTTTTTTTCACAATCTATTGATTAATTAATATATCGATTAAGTTTAGTATTTAAGTAAATAAATTGAAGTTATCATTTACTAATATAACTTTATTCAGCTATCTCAGTTCGGGTTGTCTATGCATGTTTGTTTTCGTTTTTGAATTTTATGTTACATTTGCATTGTTATTATTCCATTATAACAAAATCTAACTGGATCGATTTTTAATTCATTATGATTATTATATTACAATATTTTATGTTTATAATCAAATCGAGCCAAATTTTGATCGGTTATAATTTCACATTGTTAAAAACAAAATGAACTGTTGTATAACCAACTGAGCCTAATCAACTTAAATCGTGTGACCGTTCATTATTTGAAAATCAAATAACTGGTATCTATTGTGTTAGATATGCATAATTTTTCATGAATAATATCTAATTAAATATTAAAATTAAAGTCATTATATAATGCTTATCTAGTCTATACATATTAGTATTGTCGTAATTCTGACATTTAAGAAAATCTCTACATCTATATGTTTATTAATTTGGCACCATTTGCCATTTTCTGTGTTTGTGGAGACCAACTAATGTGCACCACGAGATCATATTGGATTTGGTGAAGTAATGAAGCATTTCGTGAATTAGGGGATATTTATTATTGATGATTAGATTCCATGGACCATGGTAATTAGGATCTTGACTTGTGTATAGAAAAAATATTTATAAATAAATAAGTGTTTTAAAAATAATAAAACTAAGAATGCAAAACATATACGAAAAGGGAGAATCTTTATTCTTTGTTATTCATTTCTCTTATTTTTGGTGTCTTTAGAAATGAGATTACAAATGCCTATTTATAGGCTTACACAAATGATAAAACGTAAGAAAATGTTACACATTTAATAAATATAGACATTCATTCCTTTTTACGTTTATTTCTTAACACTCCCCCTTGAATGTCTATTGATAAAAAGATATGTTTTGATATCGTCTCATTAAAAACTTTACCAAGAAAACCTAGTGGGATAAAACTTGGTGGAAAAAAAAAGAGTGCAGTATATATCTTTTTCTCCCCCTGAAAATAACATCATTTTATATCTCTCAAATGCCGCATCCCAATTATGTGTACCATCTTTTCAAATGTCGATCTGGGTAGAGACTTAGTGAACAAATCTGCTGGATTCTCACTTGAATTAATTTGATGAATACTTATTTCACCCTTTTCTTGAAGGTCATGAGTGAAGAAGAACTTTGGCGAGATATGTTTCGTTTTGTCACCTTTGATGTAGCCATTCTTTAACTGCGCTATACATGCAGTATTATCTTCAAATAAGATTATTGAAATATCTTTATCGGTTGAAAGTCCACATGATCCCCGAATATGGTGAGATAACGATCTTAACCAAACACATTCTCGACTTGCCTCATAAATCGCCAATATTTCTGCGTGATTAGTTGAAGTTGCAACCAAAGTTTGCTTTGTAGAACGCCATGAAATTGCAGTTCCACCATAAGTGAATACATATCCTGATTGAGATCGGGCTTTAATTATGCGGATCTGATAAATATCCTGCATCTGCATAACCAATTAAATCTGATTTGGTCATGTTGGAATAATATAAACCCATATCCATGGTCCCTCGAAGATATCTAAATACATGTGTCACGCCATTCCAATGCCTTCGAGTTGGTGAAGAACTATATCTTGCTAACAAACCTACGGCAAAAGATATATCAGGACGTGTATTATTAGCAAGATACATTAATGCTCCAATAGCACTAAGATATGGCACTTCAGGACCAAGTAGTTCTTCATTTTCATCACGAGGTCTAAACACATCTTTATTAACATCTAATGACCTTACTACCATGGGAGTACTTAATGGATGAGCTTTATCCATATAAAATCTTTTAAGTACTTTTTCCAAATAAGTAGATTGATGTAAGAAAACTCCATCTGTTAGATGTTCAATTTGAAGACCTAAACAATATTTTGTTTTTCCAAGGTCTTTTATTTTAAACTCCTTTTTTAAACATTGCACAACTTGTAATAACTCTTCAGGAGAACCGATGATATTTAAATCATCTACATAAACAGAAATTATGACGAATTTAGATCCTATGGTTTTTATGAACACGCATGGACATATAAGATCATTATTATAACCTTTTTTTATTAAAAATTCACTCAAACGGTTATACTACATTCGTCCTGATTGTTTCAATCCATACAATGCTTTGTTTAACTTTACTGAATAAATTTCCCGGGAATTATCAATATGTGCTTCAGGCACTTTAAATCCTTCAGGGATTTTCATATAAATATTATGATTTAATGATCCATACAAATAGGCTGTGACTACATCCATGAGGCGCATTTCAAGTCTTTCATGGACTGCCAGACATATTAAATATCGAAATGTTATTGCATCCACCACAGGAGAATATGTCTCTTCATAATCAATACCGGGCATTTGGGTAAAACCTTGTGCAACAAGTCGTGCTTTATATATGATAATTTTATTTTGTTCATTTCTTTTCCTTATAAATACCCACTTATAACCTACTGGTTTAATGCCTTTCAGTATTTGGACTACAGGTCCAAAGACATCTCGTTTTTTAAATAACTCTAATTCAGACTTGATTGCCTCTTTCCATTTTGGCCAATCCTTTCTATTTCTACACTCTTCTATAGAGGTAGGTTCATGATCCTCATTTTCGTTTATGATATCGCGTGCTATATTATATACGAAAATATTATCGACAATTATATTATTTCGGTCCCATCGTTTTCCCGTAGTGACGTAGTTAATCGAGATCTCTTCATTATCATTAATTGTAGGTACCTGATTCTCTTCATTATTAACTATGTCAACGGTCTCTTCTGGAGAAATATCCTCGTTATTATCATAATTGTTTGCTCCTTTTCTTTTTCGAGGATTTTTATCTTTGGAACCAATTGGTCTACCACGCTTCAGGTGTGCCTTAGACTCACTAGCAATCGTAGGTTGCTCTTCATACACATCAATTCTAATAGGAGCATTTACAGCTGGAATATGAGATTTTGTTACTCTTTTGTGGTCAGTAAATGCATCTGGCAGTTGATTTGCAATACTTTGCAAATGAATTATCTTTTGAACTTCTAGTTCACAATCTTTTATTCGAGGATCTAAACCTTTTAATGATAATTCATTCCATGATATCTCATTTTCCAGTTGTTTATTATTCCCTCTTAATGTTGGGAATAATGATTCGTCAAAATGGCAATCTGCAAATCTTGCAGTAAATAAATCTCCAGTCGTTGGTTCAATATATTTGATTATAGATGGAGATTCATATCCAACATAAATTCTCATCCTTCGTTGGAGTCCCATTTTTGTGCGTTGTGGTGGACTAATTGGAATATATACCGCACATCCAAATATTCGTAAATGGAAAATATTTGGTTCCTGACCATAAACCAATTATAATGGAGAAATATCATTGTAACTTGTTGGTCTGATTCGTATAAGTTGTGATGCATGTAGAACAGCATGTCCCCAGCCCCTATAGGGAGATTAGATTTTATAAGCATAGGTCTCGCAATTCATTGGATTCGTTTTATAAATGATTCAGCTAGACCATTTTGAGTGTGAACATAAGCTACATGATGTTCCACTTTTATTCCAATCGACATACAATAAGTTATAAATGATTGGGACGTAAACTCACCAGCATTATCGAGTCGAATTGTTTTTATTGGATAGTCAGGAAAATATACTCGTAATCTTATTATTTGTGCAAGTAACCTTGCAAAAGCTAAATTACGAGATGATAACAAACACACATGTGACCATCGAGTTGATGCATCGATCAGAACCATAAAATATCGAAATAGTCCACATGGTGGATGAATTGGGCCACATATATCACCATGAATTCGTTCCAAAAATGTTAACGATTCATTTCTTATCTTAGTTGGTGAGGGCCTTATTATCAACTTTCCTTTGGAACATGCAGCACAAGAGAATTCGTGGGATTGAAAAATCTTCTGGTTTTTCAATACATGACCACATGAATTCTTAATAATTTTTCGCATCATTGTTGAACCAGGACGACCTAATCTGTCATGCCAAACCTTAAATGTATCTGTAAACTTCTGGTTTACAATGTCAGTAAATTTTGAATTTACTGTATTATATGATTCACTCATTCTCATAGTTATATAATATAATCCAGATGAGAACGCGGGTAGTTTTTCTAACATATATCTTTTGCCCATCATAGTTGAGGTAATGCAAAGATATTCAATATTTATTTCACTCATAGTTTCAATATGATATCCATTTGAACGAATATCCTTAAAAC